CACTGTCAATCCCAGTGAGGTACGTTCCAATACGGGAAAGAGATGGTTTTGTTAATTATCTAAGCAAACAATCTTATGATTCATTCCTATCATCGTTATATGCTTCTTGAACTATGAGATTGATGTCAAGGAAGGTTTCTTTTTCACTTATCAATGAATCTAAATTATTTTGATCATCTTGATTTTCTTTGGTGTTTAAGGTTGTAACAATGAAGGTGATGTCGTTTTCTCAACAAGGACCAAGAGCCATTTGCATCCTCTCCGCTAATGGAGTAATTTCTAGTGTTACACTTCGTCAGCTGGATGCTTCTGGTGGTACGCTTACGTATGAGGTTAGGCAAATTAGAGATTACCATAACATTCCAAAATATGTCTAGTTTCTGATTAAAATTTATCGAATACTGAATGCAAAGGTTGTTATTATTGCAAAAATTGTAGTGTATCGATGTCGTGTTTTGTTCCGGCGACACGAACATGATAATGTGAAATAGTAAATTCATTTTCAAAATTCCAAAGTAATTCAATTTCATTCTAAACCCTAAATTCCAAAATAATTAAATTATATTTTAAACCTTAAATTGAAGTATTTTAGAATTTGAGGTTTAAAATTTAATTGAATTGTTTTAGAATTTAAGGTTTGGAATAAAATTGAACTACTTTGAAATTTAGGGTTTAGAATGAAATTAAAGACTGTTTTGAAAGTTTTAAAAGTTGGGGGACCTAAATTCAAGTGCCTAAAAAGTTCAATGACCATTTATATAATTTACCTTAATTTTCTAATAGTGGTTTAAGTTGGGGGATCATATTGCAAACGGAATAAATATTGGGGGACTGTATTTTAAGTTAAGGGACCTAAATGCAAGCTTCAGAAATGTTCAGTGACCATTACTATACTTTACCCTTCTTTTTATTATGTCATCAATGGTTTCAACTAATTATAATAGTTCATATCATTTACACACAAAATTTTTATTTTCCAAATTAGATTCTTCATGAATGCATATCAAAATTAAATATAAATTTAAGGATTATTTTTAGGAGGTTTTTTTTCCTTTTCTTCTCCACTAACACGTCAAAGCACTAGATCCTAGAAAACATGAATTGTGAATAGGGATGGGCATGGGTCGGGTTGGGTGGATTTTTGGTCCACCCGACCCGAGAACAATAACTCTTCCACACGAGACCCGACCCGACCCACATGAAACAAGATTTCACACGACCCGATATATAATTTAAAATAAACCGACCGACCATACCCGAAATAATAAAAAATATTATTTTTATTCAATAAAAACAGTTACTTAATTGAAAAATATAATATATAGAGGGATATTATTGTAATTATATCTAAATAAATAAGGTAAAATTATATATATTTTAGGATCGGGTCAGGTAGAGTATATTTTTACCCTAAATCCGAACCCGACCTAGACCCAAATTTTAAAAAAACCGACCAAATCAGATCAGGTCGGGTCGAAACCCGTCAGGTTTATATCCATCCCTAATTAAAAAAAACTGGTAAATCTTGGCAATTCTGGTCGCAGTAGACTAAGAAAACGCGGCACGACATTGCCGAAAATTTGTGTATCTGGACTGGCTCGAAATTTACACTTTTCATTAGCTTCACCTTATGATGGATCCGTATACGTTATTTTCTCATTGTTAAATATAATGCCGAGCACAATCCCAGCAAGTACTGCTTTTACTGTTCTTGCTACAAAAAGTTGCTTTCCTCCATAGATGTTACTAGAAAATCTCTGGCCCAATATCAGAATCTCCTTAAATCGAGGGTTGGCATAACAAGCATTATTTTCCTCCTCAACATTACTGAGCTGAAGATTTCTTTTAATGTCTTACTCTTCACTCTATTCGGTGTCTACGACAGGCTTCTGTCACATTGATGGCAAATTCCAAAACATTTAACATGGCAAGGAATAGAATGACTTGTAGATCAGAGATGTTGCTCGAGGAAATGTAGGGGTCCTTGATGAAGAACGACTTCATTTAATAACAGCATAGTTTGGTCGAACAGATCGAGAATTCGGAAATCAGGTTCATGGACGGTTAAAACAATTGTCTTGCCTTGCTTCGACTCAAAAGCAATAGAGACACATCTCTACTCAATTCAATAGGGATCCTCCAAGGATATCCATCTGCCTCCCACGGAAACCTGCTCGCAACCATGGCCAAACCTCGGCTAATATTATCGACTCAAATACCTTCTCAATAAGCAAAAGGAAGCCTCCAAACAGGAAATTAGAGCAAGGCAATGTCACCACAATAATAAAAACTATAAACCTTCAGAATGCTAAGTAGGTACGACACTAACAACATCTATGATTTGTGTGGATGAATAATCAGGACTGATTGACAAGAAAACCAAAGCAAGAGAAGGAGCTGGGCACTTACTTTTACACCAAAATCCGATCCTCATGAGCGTAATGTCGAACAATTGATTCTCATCACACTGTTGAAGGATGAAACATGAAAATATTAAAAACTTCCCAAGAAAGGAGAAAATTTCAGAAATTTTTAGGAACAACAATCTAAACTTCCCATAAATTATCAGAAAAGAGGGAGCCTACGTGTTGAAGGATGAAACATGAAAATATTAAAAACTTCAAAATAACTCATATAATTTAATTGTGATTTTAAAGTTTTTTAAAATCTTTTAACAATGAGAACTATATTTCATTAATAAAATAATATAATGAACTAAAATTTTAACATATTCAAGAATAGAAAGAAAAATAGGACAATAATCATAAAAAAAATCATACAAAGTAAAAATATTAAACCTAAAGATACGAAAAATAAAACATTCTCTTGAGAATTATACCAACAATAAAATAACTCAGTAACTTTCATTAAAGTTTTGTGTCTCAATGGAACGAGACATTTTACGAAGTGATAAAAAATGGTGAGCGAACCAAACTATCTCATAGGTTGCTTATCTATACAATTCTAATTATATTGACAATCAAACTTTAACCAAATTTGGAAACCTACTATAAGTGATCACCAACAAACCAATCAGAGAATAAATATCGTGAGGATTTTTGTGCAATCACCAAAATACAACAAAAAACCGCAAAAATATGCAACAAAAAAACTACCAAAAAGCATAAGAATTGTGCCACAAGAGTAAAGAAAATATTATGCCACAAGAACATAGAAAAAGTATGCTACAAGAGTAGAGAAAAACGTGTCAAAGGGACAGAGATTCTTATTCAAAATTGTACAAAAATCAAGGGAAAAAACAAAGAACATAATATAAAAAAAGGAAACTAATAATCATTGGCAGTTGATAATAAACACTAAAATTGATATCTTCGTTGGGTAAACAAAAATTAAAGGGAAAGAAAAAGACATACAAAAATGTGTCACTACATGTTTTTTACTTTGAAGTTTTTTTAGCTAACATAAAACTCTAAGGATGTATATGCATTAAAGTTTTTATTATATGCAGTTATTTAAATAAATATTTGATTAACTCTATATTATTATAAATATGTATATTTTAAAATTTTATTTTATGTAGCTATTTTAAGTCACAATTTAATCAATACTATTTTATTATAATTTTTACGAACTACATATGTCATGTTTTTTATTAATATTACATATTTTATTATTTATTATATGCTTTTTTATTAATATGATATATTTTGTTATTTATTATATGTGGTTATCACAAGTATATGTATATATGTCCGTTAGAAATAGGCACCCGGTATTTAGGCCAAGTCGAACTTTAATATTGTGTAGGCTTCATCTTTAAGACTTTTGAATAGGCCCGTTCACCAAATTAGAGTAGCTGAGAAAATTTTATTGAATTTGAACTTGACAAGGTCTAGAATTCGTAAAAAAAAATCTAATATTTATTAAGAAATTCAATAATGTCATTTTTTTTGTTTAAATCATTGACTCAACTTTAAAAAAAATATGTACCAAAAAAAACTTTAAAAACAAATAAAGGGTTTAAAGAAAATGCGAGTAATAAAGTAATGATGAATAATAAAAAAACTAATGATAGAATAAATAATGAAAGAATTCAAATATGTAATTTCTTAGGTTTTGCTAAGCTTCAATTTCGATCATTCATCGAAATTAATTTTCCCTCCTCGATAGTAAATTGGTTAGAGCTTACAGGAACCAACTCCTTTAGCTAACTCCTCCTTTATTAACAACTCTGAACCAACTCAAAAATTCGATTCTTGTTGAATCGTCTAACCACAATAATTGCGATTCAAGAATGCGACAGGCTTGAGTTCTAGAAGAGCCCAATTTGAGTTAACAATATCCCATCAACAAGTATTTTTTCAAACCCAATCTTATTTTCCCTTAATGGACCGTTGCCGAATTTATTCACAGGAAATCAAATTACAACCAACTAACCCAACTTCCACACTGTAAGTTAAAACAACCTTCAAGCCAATGACGTCATTTTGAGTTGAAGATGATTTAAATTTTAAAGGAATGACTGATTGTCGATAATGACTCACAACGGTCGGTGGAAGAATATAATTACATCTTTTGATAACTTGTATAAATTGCAAAGGTTAAATTAATATTTCATCTAAAATTTTTGGATTAATTTAGTATTTTATTTAAAATTCAAGAGTTAAAATATAATTACCCCTTTTGTTTACATACCACATCGTCAGTCAATTGACATTTAATATTCCACTAACCAAAAAATTATTAAATCGATAATAGATAACAGAAGAGATCAAAATATTACATTTTTTAAAATTCAATGATCGAAGTGAACAATTATAAAATAAAAGCTACCATTTCAATAGTTTAACCTTAAGTTAATATTTGATATCTTCTCATCTTGCAAACATAACGGTGAGAAATACGAGAATGGTCAATGGTGGGGGGTGAAGATACAAGAATGTATTGTATCCCTAACGTGGTCCTCAAACGACGGCGATCAGGATTAAATCGGTAAAACAATTACGCAATCGAAAAAGGAAAACATAAATTAGCAAAAGTCGAAAACATACATATTTAGATTGCAAGAGAAAGAAAATTGGTAATTAAATGGAGGATGATCAAGAACTACGAACGACAACGCTCTGCATCATGTGCTTGAACTCGAAGAAATCGACACGCCCGTCATGGTTTCGATCGACGGAACAGATCATCTTCTCAACTCTGCCAATCTCTTTTCCTTCGGGCAATCCCAGTTTCCCCAACACCGCCTGCAGCTCCTGCGCCGAAATAAACCCGTCACCGTCCTCGTCGAACACCTTGAACGCCTCCGTCAAATCCGACTCATCTTGCGACACTTCTTCCTCCTCCGCCTTTTCCTCCAAGTCCAAACCGAACAAAGTTTGGTCCAACGACTGATGCAAAGCAACAAATCCGTTGTACGTGAGGCCGGTGTTGCCTGGTTTTATGAAAGAGTTGATGGTGGAGTCGAGGTCGCATAGATCCGTTTCGAGGCCTAGACGAGTGAGGGCCTGATGGATCTCTTGGACAGTGATGATGCCGTCGTGATTCCTGTCGAAGATGTCGAAGACGCGTCGCAGACGGACGGAGTTGAGGCTGGGGCAGCGGAGGCGAAATGACGATGAGGAGGAGGCCCTTCTACTCAGGCTGCGTTCTGCTTCCATTTATGGCCTGTTTTTGTGGATCTATGAATCTTCTACCTTGGCCTTGGGGTTTCTTATTAATTGTTGATGGAAACGGCAAAGGCTAAATAGGATTGGCAATGGCACCAGATGCTACTGCAATATGTTGTCCCACATTAACATTTGAGGATATATAAGGCTTTTATAGCCGTCGTGTTCAGCCAGCCACTACGACCTTCTTTTATCAGCAATTAATTTCTACTCATATTCCAAAGTCTCCTTTCTCCACCTTTTACCTCGTCTTAAATTATGGGTTCAATTTAGAAATGTTTTTGGGTAAAATACACAAATGGTTCCTTGACTACAGCATATTATTTTGTTAAGTTCAAAAACTATAAAAAAATTATATGATGATCCCTTGGCTATATGATGTTATTTTGTTTAGTCTTCCTACTATTAAAAGTTATAAAATGATCACTCGATTATTCATCTATTCCAAACTCATCCTTTTTGTTAAAAAATTGACTATCATGACATGAGTTATCGACAACATGATATATTAGTGTATCTACAACGCAAACGGTTATGAGATCAAATTTTATTATATCTCAGTTAGCATATTAACGTTCAATTCAAACATCCAACAATTTTAACTGAAAAATCTGAAGAATTTAGAATATATAAATAGTCGAGTGATAATTTTATAAATTTTAATTGTCAGGAGATTCAACAAACAATGTCTTATAGTTTAGTAACTTTTAATAATTATGAGATTGAAAATATTATCACCTCATATTTGGAGGACCATCTGTGTACTTTACTCCATATATTTTCATTAAAGAGATGAAGAAGAAGAAAGAAGAAGCACGCATTGGTGGACTCGCCTGTTATTGGGTGGATGGGTGGAAATTTCGGAGCTTGTGGGATGTGATTTGACTTTGACGGACACGGTCATGGTCGTACTCATGGGAAGTATCGCACTTCGCGTTATTAGTTAAGAGCCTCACGCGATTTCTCTACTTGCCGCTTTGAACTTGGGTTATTAGGCAGTAGATGAGACGAGACAGATCGCAAGTTATTTGAGATCGATTCGATTAAGGAATGATAAATACTCGGATCGAATGAATTTGACTCGAGCTCGAGCTCGACTCGAATTTTTAACGAGCCGAAACGAACTACTAGATATTCGACTTGAAAAGCTCGTGAGTAGCTCGAAAAAATATTATATTATAATTTTAGATTTTTTAAAATTACATTATTAAAAATATACTATTGATAATTATAAAATTTTAAAAATATATTAAAAATTCTATAATATAAATACCCTTAATTTTTAATTTTTTTAATTAACCAGCCCAAGTCCAATTATTACTTTGTATATTTTGAAGTTTTGGGTTCAAATATCATAAATATCAAGGTTTAAGCATTTATTATCAAGATATTATATTGTACTTACCTCATAAATCGATAACAAGTAAATTAATTAATGTCTTTGCAATGAATCCTAAACCCTAAACCATATATCATAAAACCTAAACCTTAAACCTTAAACATTAAACCATAAACCCTTAATTCGATTATGTGATAGGGGTTAAGTTAAGCACATGAAGGTAACGTATAAATTATGCAAAATGATGTTATGTGACTCCTAAATAAATCATTCGCATACTTATACATAAACATATCAACATGCAAAATAAATATACACAACTAATTAAAGAAAACAATCCTAAACATTGGCTAAATTAAGAGAAACCTAAATGTGAGGATTAATTTAAGCTAAATATACTAACTTTAAAATGATGATTAAATTCACATAAATATAAAATTAAACTTACAAAATTGGAATTAAACCAATGACTTAAATACAAAATACGCGTAAACTACATGGTCTTATATGCAATTAATCATATTCCGTTTAAGCTAAAATAATATGAAAAATAACATAAATGACACCTGAACATTTAAAACAAATAAGAAAATTTAAACAAATGTGATTAAAATACAAAAATTAAAATATAACATACCAAACTATAAATTTATGAAATACAAATGTGTTATACTGTCAATCTATTCATTCCACTATTATATAATAAAAGATAAAATATCATTAACAAACAATTTGGATTTCAATATTATAAAATAAAATAGAATAGTCTAATTATAAATTTTTACAATTAATAAATTAGATACTAACTGTCGTAACCGGTTTTCGCCCGGGCACGAAATTTTTCTTGGCGGGAAAAGCGATGTGAATAAATGGTTTTTAAAATGTTTTGGGAGTCACCATCAACCTTTTTGGTCAGGTAGGTTGAATACCTAAAAATTATCTTTTAAAAGTGTTTTTAAGAAAACATCAGTTAAAAAATAAACGGGTCTGCGTTTTAACCAAAAATTTGTTCTTTTTAATAATAAAAAGGGATTCGTGGTCGATTACGTTTGGGGAATGATTAACATCCCCACAACGCCCAAAATTGGTACTCATTAATTATAAATTGTCTCTATTATTGGAAATTTAAAAATTTAAAAATATATTTAATTCATAATCATGTTGTTTCAAATTTATTACTATAATTTTAAGAAAACCTATTAATATATATATAAATAAGATATAAGATATTTATTTATTTAGAAATATCAGAAAAAGGGCTTCTTGGTGCTTTAAGACAGCTCTTTTCTTAATATTAAAAAATAAATAAATATTAAAACATTTATCTATAGATATAATTTACAAAAGTAAGATATTTATTTATTTAAAAATATCAGAAAATGAACATCCAGTTGCTTTAAGACTGTCCTTTCTTAATATTGAAAATATATATTAAAATATAATTAGTTTTCTTAAAATTTATTTATAAAATTAAATTTATAAATTGGATTTAAAAAATAAATAAATAAATAAATATATATATATATATATTTATAATAATAATAATAATTAAATATATAAACATATAGAGTTTAAATAATAATTAAATTTAACATTAAATATAAAAAGTAATAAGACTTATAATTAAATAAAGGCATTAAAATTAGTGGATAAATTATAACATTTCAAAATTAGATACCTAATTTACAAATAATTATTTAATATTTCAGAGACTAAACATGCAATTTTTCCTATTTTTAATTTAGGGATTAAAATAAAATTATATAAAATTTGAACATCAAATTAAAACAAATTAAAACAAGTTGTTCAATTAAAATAATAATTATTAAAATCATAATGACTAATTCGGTTATTTTACCTATAATTAAATCAGTGATCAAATTATAAAGGAATTAAAATTCATATACCGAATTAAAAAGATCTAAAATTTAATTCAGTGACTAAAATATAAAGTCACAAATTTATAATGGCTACGGGTATAATTTACCCGTTCAAAATTATAGAAACACCCCTCCACAAAACGACGTCGTTTGGGGAGGGGTATTTAAACCCTAATCCAAACGGCCTTAAGGCCAAATTTTCATTTCTCTTCTCTCTCATTTTCTCTCATTCTCTCTCTAAAATGAGAGAGTTTTAAACTCTCTCGCTTCTCTCTAAAACTGAGAGAGAGAGCACCGACCGGCAATCGAAATCCGACGCTGACCGCCACTGCCGGCCACCGTGAACAGTGGCCGAAAAATCCCACAATACATCAAAATAAAGCTCTCACTCTCCATATTCCGATTTTTAACCTTTTTATTCCTAAAAGTCTCCTATTTGGCCTAGATCGAGTCTTTTACCTTCGATTTTTGGTGGTTGCACGGCGGTTTGGAGGCTTCTACAAGGGTAAGCTGCTCCACTCTCTTTTCTTTTCGTTTGCTCTGTGGTTACTGTTTTTGATTTCTGTTTTTTTTTCTTTTGTGTTGGTCGCTATTGATGGATCATTCTTTACAGGTTCGGTGGCCATATTTATAGGCCACCATCGATATGCCTTTGGACCGGTCTCTTAGAGGTTTCTCGGTGAGTCACCAAGCTATGGCGGTGACTTACCATAGATCATTGATGTGGCGGAGCAGCTGGCTTCTGGAAAGCTCATCGAGGGTTGAGGCGTGGCAGCAGCTGCATTGTTGTGGAGTTTTTGGAAGTAGCGGTGAGGGTTGAGGCTCTTGGATAAAGCGGCAGTGGCGTTAGGGTTAGAAACCCTAGTAGAAACCCTAAATAAGTTTAGAGTTTCTATTGGGCTATCTGGTTGGGCTTCCATATTTGTAAACGGGCTTAGGGTTTATAGACGGGACTGTATATATATATATATTATTTAATAACAATAATATAATAATATATAATATTAATTATAATAATGATAATATTTAATAATAATAATAATATACAGTGAAAAAATTAGTGTTTACAGCTGTCCCTCTTTGCTCATTCTTGTGTTAACAAGAATATAGCAAAGACGAAAAAAAACAATAATTTTTTCATTTGGCTTCTTTTGAGTATGATGGAAATGTTGAACACGTTCTTCTTCTTTGGGATTAGTTCTTCTTATTATGAACTTTTCCACTGGGGATGACAATTTATCTCATTTTGTGATATAATCATGCAAAGGTTGAACAAGTTCTTCTAATTATGATCTTCTTTTCCTTCTTCAGATGAGTTCTTCTCATTATGAACACTTCTAGAAATGTTGATGATGATCTATCTTCTTCTGTGATAGAGTCATGCAAAGGTTGAACAAGCTCTTCTCATTATGAACTTCTTCTTCCTCTTTAGATAAGTTCTTCTCATTATGAACTTTCTCTGGAAAAGTTGATGCATCGAGTGATGAATTCGAGCAAAAGGTTTGAACAAATTCTTCTCATTATGAATTTCTTCTTTCTTCTTTAGATGAGTTCTTTTCATTATGAACTTTCTCTGGAAAAGTTGATCAATCGAGTGATGAATTCGAGCAAAAGGTTTGAACAAATTCTTCTCATTATGAATTTCTTTTTCCTTCATCAGATGAGTTCTTCTCATTATGATCTTCTTCTGGAATAGTTGATCCATCAAATGATGAATTCAAGCAAAAGGTTAAACAAGTTCTTCTTATTATGAACTTCTTCTTCCTTCTTCAGATGATTTATTCTCATTATGAACTTCTTCTGGAACAGTTGATCCATCGAATGATGAATTCAAGCAAAAGGTTAAACAAGTTCTTCTTATTATGAACTTCTTTTTCCTTCTTCAGATGAGTTCTTCTCAT